TGTCTGGTAATGCATTCCACAATGTTGGAGCTGAAACAGAAAACGCTCTAAAACCATATGTACGTAGATTAAAATTAGTTGTATCAACAAGGTTTTTTGAGGATGATCTTAACGTTCTTTTTGGTTCATATGGTTTAACTAATTCTTTTAAATACAATGGTGCCATGTCATGCCAACACTTGAAAGTTAAGAGAATAATTTTAAAATTGATTCGTTGTTTTACAGGCAACCAATGCAATTCCCTCAAAATTGGTGTGATATGATCATATCGTTTAGTTAAGTTTACCAATCTAGCCGCTGAATTTTGCACACTTTGAAGTTTTTGGATCAGCCGCTTAGGTAGTCCATAGTAAGAAGAGTTACCATAATCAAGCCGTGATGTTATAAATGCATGAACTAGAGTTGTAGCTGCTGACTTCGACAAGTATTTCCTTATCCTTCTAATGTTTCGTAGATGATAGAATCCTGACTTGCATACTTCTGTAATATGTTGCTCCATGGACATACCACAATCGAAAAGCATACCAATATTTCGAACATAGTTCGACGGTGTGACTACCTCACTACACACCGAAACCGAAAAAATAGGTTGTTGAGGAAGGTGCCGAGCACTGAGAACTAACAGCTCAGTTTTGTCTCTGTTCATTTTTAACATATTTGACGTCATCCATGCATCAATGTCAGAGACACATGCTTCAATCTTGGATTTTGCTAGATCAAGTTGACCATCCACTGATGATTTAAAAAATATATATAATTGGGTGTCATCCGCATATAGGTGAAAGTCAATACCATGTTGTCGAATGATGTCAGCCAGAGAGAACGTATAAAGCACAAACAACATGGGTCCCAAAACTGACCCCTGCGGAACACCATATTTCAAGTCATAACTATTTGAGGTTTGTCCTTCCACCTTAACAAACTCTCTGCGATCAGATAGATATGATGAAGACCATTCCAAGACTTTACCGTTGAAACCAAACCTTTTTTCCAATCGGGAAAGTAATATTTGATGATCAATCGTGTCAAAGGCAGCCGACAAATCCAATAACAAAAGTATTACCGATGACCGATTGTCTAATGCCAGGAGAATATCATTTTGAACTTTAACTGAAGCAGTTTCAGTGCTATGATACTTTTTATAGGCTGATTGATACACTTCATACAAGTTATTATCCCTAATATAAGTATCAACTTGGGACGCAACAACTTTTTCAACAGCCTTTGACAAAAATTTCAAATTGGAAACTGGTCGAAAGCTTGAGAATTCTTCATGATCCAGACACGGTTTCTTCATAGATGGTAGCAGAAGTGCCATTTTCAAACTGGGTGGGACCAATGCATGATGCAGAGAAAGATTAGCAATGTCTGTTATCACAGGAAGTAATAGATGACCACACTTTTTAAAACCAGAAGCTGGTATAGGATCCAGTTGACATGATTTACTTGACATTTTGTCAATTAATTTCCCAAGATTTTCAGATGTTACAGGGGTAAAGGTGGATAGCTCAGCCTGTATTGGGTATGTCTTGTCATAATCGAAATTCATAGATGTTTCAGACAGCAATGTTGATCTTATATTTGTAATCTTGGTACAAAAGAAATTTGCAAAATCATTTGCCAAATTACCAGAAACACCAGATCAAGGATAAAGCTTTTCCGCTTTTTTATGAATCATCTTGTCTACAGTACTAAAGAGATTTCGTTGATCAGGTCCCAAACTATCAATCAAATCACCATAAAAAGACATTTTCGAATGAAAGATCAAATCATTGACTTTCATAGATTACTTAACATACAGATCTCTGTCGGTCGCCATATTAGAAGAACGCCAACGCCTTTCAATTGCAAGTCTCCTTTTAATAATTCTTTCTGCATGAATTTCCTGTGTGTACCAAGGAGAAAAATCACGTATTGTGACCAATTTATTATGTAGGGGAGCATGAGTGTCTAATAATGATCTGAGCACAGTTTCATATTCCTCAACTAGTTCACAGACTGGCAAGGACCCAGTTGATTCAGACATAAGAGACAAGATCTGTACAAAATTTTTCATAATTTATGTTCCTTAGCTTGCGACAACAAATTTCTTTCCTTTGTCGTATAGGTTTCTCAACTAAAACATTCACATTTACAGAAAAGTGGTCAGAAATACCCGGGTCGTTGATATATAATGACTCAATGATGTTATCTTCATAGCGTGTAATGATTAGGTCGAGAGTATGGCCGTCTTTATGAGTAGGTTCACATACGTATTGCTTAAGGTTAAAGGAATGGATTATATCAAAAAAATTTGCCGCTTGTGAATTGTTTTGGTCATCTACATGGAAATTAAGATCCGAAGTAATAATGAAATGTCCGGCATCAAGAATAATTTGTTCTAGGAAGGATCTAAATTCGGACAGGAACGATTCACATGTCAGACCATTTGATGTAGAAGGTGGTGGCCTATACACAACAATGATTCGTACAGGATTTGAAACATTAGATACCATATCCAGATATTCAAACGATTTAAACTGCATCCGAGAGATTTGCTTAAACGCAAAAGCCTTTTTGTAAATCAATGCCACTCCACCACCTCTGGATTTCCTGGCAACGTGCTTAAAGACATAATTCAAAGGCGTACAATTTCTAATTATATATTCATTCTGACTGTCTTGATTCAGCCACGTTTCAGTTAAGGCTAAAATATCGACACTATTATCAGTAGCGTAGCCAGCCCGACTATTTGGTCCCGCTATGCAAATATTTTCATGTTCATTGACTGTGAAAACAATCACTTTCTAAAGAAATGAATAATGATAATAATTTTGAATTTGCATAGCGGGACTAAATTGTCGGGCTGGCTACGCCACTGACTATTATTGGCAATAAATTCTCTGATTGCTGTAGATTTGTTGCTAATGGATCTTGCATTTAAGAGAATAAACTTGGCCCTTCTGGTAGGTCTAAAACTAGTATCAGTTCGGCATATAGGAATCGAGATAAGGTTGTTGCGATTCACAATTTGTTTATGACGACGGACATAAGGTTGGCGAGGCGTGACTGATGTTTGAATATTATATGCAACTTCGAAATTCTCCCCTACTGTTTTAACCGGGGCAGAAAGCGAAAATTAGGTTTTTCAGTCCTTTTCCGTTCTCTTAAACCTGAATATACAACAGGAATAGTAAAAATACGAGAACTTATCTGAGAGGTATATCGCTTTGATTCACGTATCATAGGAGATGCAGCAAGCAATGTCTTCGGGTTCGAGAGCACTAATGGCGAACACATTTGACTAGGTTTTACAGTTGAAGCATATTTACAAGCACGAACTCCCACAGGTCCAGGATTTATGGCAACGTCCATACAAATAGTAAGGTCTTCATTTGGAAGGGACCTTGGAGACGCCAACGACAAATATCCATGCTTTGCCCACGAACAATTTCCACACGAGCCAGGAAGCTTCGTACACAATATGCTTATTGATATTGATTTTGGTCGATAAAATGAGCAGTCAATGGAATAGTTTCCATATTTGCCACTAATCTTTGAGTATGAGAGTAAGTTGTGTAATTGTACACTCCGTAATATGTTAAGATAAAAGTGTTCTAGAGTGTGTATTATATAATTTCCATACCCAGCGCAAGCAGAAAGATGTTGTCTGTCGCGGCTGGGTCTTCAACCTGCGACCTTCGAATTACTAGATCGACGCTCTACCAACTGAGCTACACGGTCAGACGGATTTAAGACTGGAAATTATGAAATATATACTGAATGTCATAAACATACTCGTTTATATTAATTCAGTATCGAACAATACTAGTTCTGAAAGTGTTATGTTAAGTTGTGTAATTGTATACTCCGTAATATGTTAAGATGAAAATGTTCTAGAGTGTGTTTGGGTATGGAAATTATATAATACACACTCTAGAACATTTTCATCTTTATATATATATATATATATATATATATTTATATATATATATATATATATATATATATATATATATATATATATATATATATATATATATTACAAATTGTTCACCTGCAACTTGACAGGTCAGTTGTAGCATATGAATCCCCAAACGTTAACTTTGCTCTTTACAATATACCTGCACAAATATGGCAAAATTGGTTTTGTTTAACTACACGTACACAATAACAAGTTTGATTTGATTTTATATTTCAGTTTCTATTTCAGTTTCTATTTGATATGTGAACCTCACTTATGCGCCTGATATAAGATCAGTGCAAGCAACAATGGCTTCGTTCAACTTTTTTAATGTATTGCAATGCAATGCTTTTCATGTATCTAATTCTGTTACGTCATTAGCTATAGTCGTTACGTAGTTGTATACGAGAGACAGTACCGCGCATGAGTTAACCGGTTGTACTGTTCATGCGAACCACTGAGCACCCGCAATTTATCGCTGCGTTGGAATACATATATATTCTCAAGAGGACGCCTATCATTTCTGGATAAAAAGAGCTAAGTCGTTATCTTTTGTACTTTCTTTATCTTTATATTCGTATTATCTGTAGCATGTCAGAAACTGAACAAAATTTAGATGCTGGTGCGGTAGCGCCCTCACCAGACAATGCAATGTTGTTCAACATGTTTTCCGAACTACCAAAAAGTATGGTAGAAACCACACAATTTTTAAGTGAACTACGCGCTGAACGCGCATCAAAGGCAGTCGATTCAGAAGAATCGCAAACGCCAGTCCCAGAGGAGGACACTACGCCAGCTTCAGAGGAAGCAAATACCGCTACGCCAGCTTCAGAAGAAGTACATATACGCCAGCTTCAGAGGAAGCTAGTCCATCTCACCAAAGGGTCGTAAATGATGATGCATTAAGCATTCTTGGCGGCGATGATTTTGACGCTGATAATGAGGACCTTTAACCTTTTAAATGAAATTGATGGATCGTTGCGGCCGTCAGACTCTATAGGGTGTATAAAAAAAAAACTGAACGGATTTGAAGTTGCTCTCAATTTCGCAAAACACCTATTTGTATCCGGTTTTTTATATATGTAGTTTCTTTGGGTACTTATAATGTAGAATAATGAAAAAAAATTCTCGAACTCAAATTTTGTGAACCAGGGGTGGGGATGTCTTTTCCAACAAACTAAAAATGGCTCCCGCACATTTAAAAGTTGTAATCATATTTTGAGTTAATAGATGGAAAATTTGTCGGGTGTTTAATTACTGTACAAAATTTCAGACAATTTGGTTTAGTTTAAGCCCTTTAACTATTCACGCAAAGTTACATTTTTCCTAAAAATCAGCTATTTGCATGCTTAGTTAATGCCTTTGCCTAATTTGCATATGTCAGCAATATGCAAATTAAGTAAAGGCATTAATTAAGAATGCAAAAGGCTGATTTTTTAGAATAAAATGAATAGTTATAGGGCTTAAACTAAACCAAATTGTCTGAAATTTTGTACAGTAATTAAACACCCAACAAATTTTCCACGTATTAACTCAAAATATGATTACTATTTTTAAATTTTGTGCGCGAGCCATTTTTAATTTGTTGGAAAAGATACACCCCCCTGGTTCACAAAATTTGAGTTCGAGAAATTTTTTTCATTATTCTACATTATAAGTACCCAAAGAAGTTATATTTATATATAAAAGACCGGATACAATCATACAAGTAGGTGTTTTGCGAAATTGAGAGCAATTTCAAATCTGTTCAGTTTTTTTTTATACACCCTGTATAGGCCCACCGATACATGAAAAAATCGCAAAAATTGTAAACGACAAGTTTTCATCAGATCTCGGACTAAATGGAAGCGTAAGGAGATATTTGAAAAATATAAAACACTTGAAAATTGTCCAAAGCTTTTTGTACCAAAGGTTAATGAACCTATTTGGACGAGCCTCAAAGCTTTTCACTGACAGCGTGACTTACGCACAGCAGTCTTGCAAGACTCTATTGTTCGAGTATCAAGCGCACTTTCTGTTACTGTTGACGAGCTACTAAAATGTAGAGAAAACAAGACATTGCCTGATAATCGAACTGTTGCTTCACGTCTTTTTGACTCAATTGCGCTTTTGGGCAATGTTAATACGGAATTATCCTATAAAATACGGGATTCACTACGCCCATTACTCAGTAACGAATTAAAGCCTGCTTGTCACCGATCGAACAAAACCCGAGAAATTTCGTTTTGGTGACGATCTGAGCAAATCAGTCAATGAGGATAAATTGCATGGGAAATTCTTGCTGCGTGATTCATTCCCGCGTCAACGGTTTATGCGCGCCTTATCCAAACCAAAAAGGCAACATTTTTTACCAAAATGGGGGAGGAGTCAATTTCCTCCCCAGCAAACATTCCGTCCGTTCCGAAGCCAACAACAGAAGAGTCATTTCCGTCAATAAATAATCAGGTAATTGGTTTTCCGACATACTTTACCTCAAAAATCTTGCCAAATTTTAAAGTACTGATTGGTCTATTTTATGGCGGCCAAATTAAATATTTTATTTCACAGTGGGAAGGTTTGAATTCCGACAAAAGTGTACTACAGACTGTCAAAGGTGAAGTCATTAAGTTGATCGGAGACCCCCGACATGTTCTATTTATCCAACAAACTCGATTTCAAAAAATCATGAAATTAAAATAGACGAAGAGATTTCTAAACTCTTGCCTAAAAACGTCATTGTCAAAACTTCCCATGAACCAGGCGAGTTCATTTCGCCAATATTTTCCGTTCCCAAGAAATATGATAAGGTTCGACTTATCTTAAATCTCAAAAAATTTAATGAACATTTCAAATCATACCATTTTAAAATGGATTCCATTATAAACACCGCCTTATCACTTATGACAAAGGAATGTTGGCTAGCATCCCTCGATCTCAAGGATGCGTATTATACTGTTGATATACATAAGGACTATCAAAAGTTCTTAAAATTCTTTTATAAAAGAAAACTTTTCAAATATACTGTTTATCCAAACGGTTTATCAACATGTCCACGAAACTTTACAAAACTACTTGAACCAGTCTTATGTACCTTACGGAAAAATGGTCATATATACTTGTATAATATTTATTGATGATATTTTGATCATATCCACCCCATATGAGGGCTGTATTACATCAATTATTGAGGCTGTCAATCTCCTCACTAACTTAGGCTTTGTCCTTCATGTTGAGAAGTCAATGTTTTTCCCTCGACAGGAGATTGTGTTTTTGGGTTTTGAGTTCAATTCCGCAACAATGAAAATTAAGCTAACAAATGAGAAAATCACAAAAATAATGTCTCGTATTTCATATATACTAAATTCAGAGAGGTACACAATTCGGGAGGTAGCCCAAATTATTGGGTTACTTGTTTCCAGTTTCCCAGCCGTTCGATACGAGAATGTCACTATCGAGTCATTGAGCAGGATAAGATTGAGGCATATATTAAAAATAGAAAAGGGAAACTTTGATAAATATATGCAATTGTCAACTCGTTCAATTGAAAAACTGAATTGGTGGTTATTGAATTTACCAAACTCGTATAACTTGATCCATCCCACTCCCGTAGATGTCAGTGCCAATTCAGACGCATCTCTCACGGGATGGGGAGGTGTGCTGGATAGCTGTTCTACGCAAGGGCGCCGGAGCCACGGGGGCAGTGGGGGCAACTGCCCCCGTTGCCGAAACAGTGCGGGGGCGGCACGGGGGCAACAGGTTGCCCTTTTTCACCAGAACTGCTCTTCGAAATTTGCGCGTTATGAACATGAATTGGAATTTTGAATTGGAACTATTTTTAAGCAATGTTTAAGCAATCTTTGCTTAATTTTAACCAGTTATAGTAAATTAATGCCAGAGGCCGCGGAATTACTTTTGTCCCCGAGCAGGCGGCGCGAAGCGCCGTGCGAGGGTACTAATTCCCCCCGGCTATTTACACCCGGGGAAACGAAAGCATTAGGGAAGTCTGAAGTTCATCAAATATCGCGGGCGTGGGTCACTGTGCGTGTTTCGGTGGGTGGTCATCTTCAC